TGTAATAGTTTGATGTGTGTATATACCTCCCGAGTCCAGCCGATACTCGTCTGTAGAACATTTTAATGAGTTAGAACGCGGTTTGATTGATATGAATAATATTACCCAATATGTACTAGTTATGGGAGACTTTAATGCTAGAACTAAAAACCGATCGGATTATGTTAAACTTAATGACACTTTAATCAATATGTATGACATAGACAGCGATATGGTCAGTGCAAAGCTTCATTTATTCTGCGATAATGGTTTTCACGTTGATAGAAACTCTATGGACAACTGCATGAATTCATATGGATATAAGCTACTTGATATCTGTAGAAAGGATAATTTGTTTATTGTTAACGGAAGGGCAGGTTTAGATAAAGGAATTGGGTCATTTACTTGTAAAGATTTGAGTGTAGTCGACTACTGCTTGGCTACGGCTGATGTTTTCCCTTTTATAATGAATTTCACTATAAAAGATTTCGACCCTGTCTTTTCAGATGTACATTGCCGTTTAGAAATCTGTTTACGTTTTGCGCCTAAGCTCACGCATGATGTTTACACGTACCTTATCGTAACCAATGTTTGGCCAACAAACGCCCGGGACAATGGGATCCCAGGTTGCGAAATGAACTTTGTTCTCAGTTGAATAACGACTTTATTCAAACATTATGTAATAACATTGACGAGATAACACATGCCAACCTGAAAGAAGGTATTAATCATGTGACACAGTTATTACGTAATGAAATATTTTATCAGCGGGCAATACGTTCGACTTTGCATCTGATCCAAGCAGAAAACAGCGAAATAAAGCTTGTAAGCTATTCACCTCTGTAATAAACAATAGACTACAAGCTTTTTCAGACACCATTGGTTTAATTCGTGAATCGCAAGCAGGCTTCGGAAAGAACCACTGCACATTAGATCATATCTATGTACTAAACCGCTAATTGATATCTACCAAGCATCCGGCAAAAGGACGTTTTGTGCATTTATTGATTTCAGTAAAGCTTTTGATACTGTTTGGAGAAATGAACTTTGGTTTAAAATGATTGAAAGTAATGTTACTGGAAGGTGTTTCAGATTTCAGATAGAAATAATGAAAGAATATGTCTACCTAGGGGTTCTATTTTCAGGGAATGGGAGATTTTGTAAAGCACTTATAATTAAGTCACTTAGTGATCGGTGCGGTCGGGCAGCCTACTTGTTAAAGCGTTCGCTCGTCATGCCAAAGACCCGGGTTCTATTCCCGACATGGGTACAATGTGTGAAGCCCATTTCTGGTGTCCCCGCCGTGATATTGCTGGAATATTGCTAAAAGCGGCGTAAAACCATACTCACTCACTCACTCAATTAGTGATCAGGCCAGTAGGGCAATGTTCTCTGTTTTCAAATTTATAAGGCAACTAGATGTCCAATTAGACTGTCAACTAAAATTGTTTGATCAATTAGTTCTCCCTATAGTATTATATGGATGCGAAATCTGGGGGTTTGAAAAGCTTAATATATTGGAAAAGGTTCATCTGAAATACTGTAAATATATATTAAATATTACGCAGTCAACCCCTGATTACATGGTATATGGTGAGCTCGGCAGATACCCTATAATAATTGACATCAAAGTAAGAATAATTTCGTTCTGGTGTAAGATCCTACTTTCCAAAAAACCGCTACCACAAATCATGTACTCAATAATGTTATCCCTGTCATCTACCTCTGAAAAGGTACAATTTCCTCTATTCAATATGATAAAACAAATCCTGCAAGAAACTGGACTGCATTACTTGTGGATATCACAAGCTGTACTAGATGTCCAGTGGGTCAAACAACAAGTTGAAAATAGTATTAACAGATCAGTATAAACAATCTTGGCAAGCTTATATTCAAAATTCCTCTAAGGCAGATAATTATCAACTATTCAAAAGCGAATCCACTTTAGAACCATATCTTTTAATTATCCCAAAAAATCTACGCATTTGGCTAACGCGTTTTAGAACAACAAATCACAAATTGCCGATAGAAATAGGAAGATGGCACGGAATACCACGTATACACAGATATTGTACTCTATGTAATGCCGCTGTTGGCGACGAATTTCATTTTTTATTAGGCTGTAACGAATTACTCAACCTTAGAACAACCCTATTACCAGACGTAAGTATCCTACTGTGAATAAATACAACTACTTAATGAATTGTGATTTCAAACCTCTTCTTACAAAGTTATGTAAATATATAAAGAATGGACTCGCACTGCTACAATGAGTGATCTAGATGCCACTACATATCAAGACAGTTCCTTAATATATAATTATTTACGCAGATATGTATGCAAATATTATGTATAATATATGCAAATATGTATGTATATATTGTATAATGTATGTATATATAATGCATATTATATTTTAACTCCAAATTGCTTGTATTGTGCTACATTCGTTGTATAATTGTATTACACTTCGTAATGTATGTTCTCTATACCACTATTGTGTGTTTTTTAGAATACACTCTGCTCTGTTCTGTTCCGATCAACGCTTACATTGATTTAACATTGGTTCACGGTCCCCACTAATTATTAAGATGTAGGTCAAAATATATTATAGGTCACAGACATTTATAGTATACAGTACACCAGTACACGCGCTCTTGAAATTGAATTCGTGATGTAACATACATGTACGTGTCCGTGAATAAGTTGAAGATTGTCACACGTCTTCATGTGAAGAAATGTAAAAGGTCCAGCGGTATTGCCCCAAACTGTGAAAATGTCCAAATTTTGAAAACAGTATTGTGTGGTATAATTAGTGTCAGATAATATAACGCTTTAGATGCTGGAAATAATATTATGAAAACAGATTGTGTGTAAAACAATTACATTCCACACTTGTTCCTGTGGATACCATACCGAAGATACTCTACAACTTCTTTTTTGTGTGTAGAAATTACTATGCTCTTCGAAATGAAATGTATTTTTACCAACATGGTTATTCTTTACAAACAGTGCTATGCTGAAATTCGGATTTGAGTAAGGACGAACAAATGCTAATATTGCTATACGGCAGATTTTCAGTTAAATGATTGTTTAAATAAACTGCAAATAGATTTATTATATATACACATCTAGCTTTGCATGTACAATTCATTTGTTATATGTAACCTTCATTTATGTATTCATTGTAATATGTCCTATGTGTAATGGAGCGATATTAACACAAGCGCTTCGCTTGTTTACCAATCCATTTTCACACTTTTGTGAAAATAAATATGTTTAAACCACATTCCACACGGCTATACCAGGAACTGAGAACAACTGAGTGGTACATGTAGGCATCTGTCTTAAGTGTCATAAGTGTATGTCAGTTAAGATTAAACTTAACTGGGCTAGGTGTGATAAGTCTATTTCATTTGAAATCTCGCAGTATCAAGAATGAATCGGAACAATCAGCCTTCTTTACAGGGCCGACAACCCCGCATCACATAGTCAGTAAGGCGGGAACGACAACGTTCCCATATTTCAGGAGTTCCTAGCTTCACAAGACTCACTTCAGCGGACTTTAATTTATTAATTGAATAAAGAACTTGTATCGCGCATTTCAAAATATCAAGTGGTCAAATGCGCTTAGACCATGATTGATCTAGGCATATGCTCTCATGAAGAGACAGGTTTTGAGTGTCTTCTTCAAGTTTTCAGGTTTTCTGTTTCTCGGATTTCTTGTGGCAGATTGTTCCATAGCAATGAGCCAGCATGCTTAAATGACCTATCATCATATGTTTCTGTGCATGTTCTTTTTATCGGGGAGAATGTGCAGGCTTGAATGGTAGTATCAGTTCCTGTAAGTATGCAGGAGGAAAACTATGCCATCACATCACGATCAGACGAAGGTGTACCCTGTAAAGGGTCTCAATGAGGTTGTTGGTTGTTTTCAATATATTCTGTTACAAATTTCTCCCGTCACATCTTTTGGAATTTCCACTTCCAAATAATGGTAAGGATCGTGTTGCGAGTTATTACAAAGGTTATTAAAGGGCCAACACTGAATGTAATTTGTACATTTGTCATGTGCCATGTGCCTCGGGATAGCGTACAAAGCCATGAGTTCAAACACATTTGTATGCCATAACCGAAACTGCTATTCTGCTATTTGTACCATTATTATGCTGGTGTAGGTTGATTTTGTTTCTGAGACTAAATGTTAGTTACTACTTTGATTACTACTACTACCACTACTATGATGACTCCCACAGTAAGTCATGATATATCTGAGTGAGTGAGTTGGAGTTCACGTCTCTTTGAACATTATTCCAGTTATATAATGCCGTGTCGGGTAGAAGAAGTAGTAGCAGTAGTACCAATAGTAGTAGTAGTAGCAGTAGTAGTAGTAGTAGTAGTAGTAGTAGTAGTAGTAGTAGTAGTAGTAGTAATCACCGAAGTAAACTAACTATAAGTCTCAGAATATTTTTTAAATGTACAAAATATAAAGTAAAATCCTAATGGGGCACAAAAAATGCCCATTGTTGCTTAGAGCTGAGAGAATCTAGACTTGTCAGATGATTCTAGACTGTGAGTTATATAAAACAACATTCTCTAGGGTCTTGGAATAGAAAGATTAATAGAAGTTGGACACGTAGTACCACACATTTTGCCTTCATGCTATACCTAAACATTAGTTTTACTTATTATCTGAAGATAATAACAAACACGAAAAGATTAGACTAGCCCTCAACAGCTATAAAGTGGCATTGTGTGTGTAAACTTAAACCAGGTACAAATGCTATTATGTTTTGTGTAGCGATTGAATGCTATAAATAAACTACCAGCTATAAATATACAATCTGCAAACATGTATTGAACTGATAAAGCGATACTGTGTCTGATAAAGCGATTCGTTTAGGGTTATATATTTAGCCATGGTGTTGAATCAATTGACGAGATGACATAATGACAATAAAAAGTCTTCGCGGAGCAGTTCGTGAACTTTTAACCTCCTAAACTTAAGCTGCGCGAGGAGAGGTCACCATTGTGAGGCGGTGGGATATTTCTGTGACATTAGACGCAGCAGTTCAGAGGGGCAGCTGGACCGTTGAGACATTCATACAGGTATGTTGCAAACATTAACATTGTTCAAACGCCGTTGTATATGCACATGAACACATCTTCAGATCATTACAAGGTATATATTGAGTTGTATTAGGTTAGAATATATAGATAAGACCTGATGCATTTTCTGCAGTGGACATGTTCGCTGAAGTCAGACATGTGTCTTACAATGAACTGATGTAGATCATCTCTATCATCTCCTTGTTTACGAGTTTGAGTAAAGATTCGGATAAATAAAGAAGGTCGGGATCAATGTATAGGACACTTGTGTCACACTTACCAACTCAGCATGTTTTGTTGTCATGGTGGTCACCCAGAGCATCAACAGGTGAACGGAATGTCCTTGAGGGTTGAATTTATTACACTTTTCATGTAACATGAACGTTAGTTCGAGGTTTCAGAAGTTAGATCAGATATTATTCTATCTATTTCTCCTCCATCGTAATGTAATGATACAGTACAGCTGTTATTTTTTTTAACACAATCAATGTATGTAACGAGGTTGTTTTCAAACACATATTTGTTGTATCACACAGTAATGCATTTATTTGTCGTTGTTCTTTGGTTTAAAGATGTATGTCTGCAACGCTATTGAAATCAAAACAACGTCAAGTAGTGTGTGAGTATGTGTGTGTGCGCGTGATTATTCATATAGGCTGGTGCGGTAAACTCCCTGAAATGTAGTGTAGCAAACAATGTCCTAATATGCATCCTTGACTTATTGGAATAGTTTGGACGGTACGCGGGATCCGCCGACGTAAGGAGATGTTAATTGACATTTGTAGATAGCACTGTTGATGAAGGTTCCTGCCTTGGGGAGGCTCACGAAAAGAGGTGATACGCCGAACGTGTACATTAAACAGACAAAGGAGACAGCATTTCGGTGCACTTTGAAAACATATTGAAACAATTAGTTATTTTGAATGAATGAAGTGGTTTGCACTTTAATAGATATATTAGCGATGGTCCTGAAGCTATATTTCAAATGAGAATTAAATCAGGACATTTTCTTTTTCATGTATTATTTACATATTTACATTTTCTTGCGTTCAATATTCACCAATTAAGATGCACAGTTTACATAATAGCACTCGCGAAAAAAAACCAATATATTTTCTGAAATAGTATATCCTCTGCAGGTCCAAACCAGGTCCAAACCAGGTTCAAACGTAATTTCAAAACATAATGCATTAGGGGCTGGTCACGTGGGCCCTTTTTGGAAACATTCCATGTGTTATAAATATATGGAACGCTATTGTGTATTCAACCGTATCACTTAATTAAATCAAAACCACTAACATTATTTTAAATTGTTTTAAATGGGGACGTTTACATTTACATGCCAACATCATTTGACACAGTGTCATTATAGTCTGGCCACTCGGGAATTGGCTTTGGGTGGTCTGCAAGGCGTTAAAGAGCGCCCAATTGTTTTACTTCTAATGGACAGGCAACCTCCGACATTCTGCTGCATGACTAGGGGCGTTTGTTCATTTTTTATGATAAAGGTGAACAGGTTTTAATTGGTGGCTTGGATCCTTCTTATTAAACCTACAAATACCAGCCTTCGCAATTGGTTGGTAGTTCGGAGTCATTTAGGGTTAAAGTGATTCCACGTGAGCTAGCCGTCTGCCGCCATTCTTCACTGATCCGTCAAATTGTCTGTAAAGGCGCTGATCTTTGGAAAAGTCTGCAACTTGACATGACACTCAGCAGAGGGTGGACGGCAACACGTCGAACTAAGAGAGTGTTTCCAATCAGGCACTAACTTCCGCCGAATACACTATTTAAACAAAACACACAGCAATTCAGCACACTCAGGCCACCAGCAAAAATTCCGTAGCCATCACAATCAGTTTGACTAAGACCAAATCCTCAACCAAACATCAGGACTTCACCAAACGAAAACTCGCAGAAGCTAGAGAAATCAACTGTCGCACACCTTTGATCAAAAGAAATCAAGGTGATTACATCACGTCTGCCTTTGAAGATATTATCAAGCAATAGACTATTATAATTAGTATCCAATCAGCTTGTCACCATCGTTTAATCCATTGAAATCCTTATCTGCTTCATTACCTGTGTGCCATTGGTTATTCTTACTGTACACTTAGTCCATTTGTATTAGCTGTATACCACTTGTTATCTATTACCTTTTGTTGTCAATGTTAAGCTCCTGCTTTCGCAGCATACCATCGTATGTATAATCCCCTCACCACTTGGCTGTTGTCACTCTAGCTTGATAACGGTGTAAGAATCTACATCGAGATTTCGCTATATGCAGTAGACCAGAAGTTGTTCTTCATTAAGTTGTACGTTTTCTTACTGTTTAAACACTTGTTTTATTCATCTGGTATGGGAGGTTAGTTTTGTTTCCATCCTGTTTTGCGTCTATACATAGTGTTATAAGTACATACGTGTGACATATTCATGTAGAATATGATTAAAATCATTGTCTTGTCGTTGTATTTGCAATTGGTTGTTTTATTCTGTTTTCAGTAATGTCAGACAATGGGGTGGTTGAAAATATTAAAACGACACAAGACACACCAGAAGATGAGAAAGAAGCTCATGTACAAGATTTACTGTCAAAGAAGGGACACATCTCTGAAGACGCTGATTCGGGACTGGGGTGGATTATCGTTTTCGCGTCCTTCGTTAACCATGTCATGTTCTTTGGTATAAATCTATCATTTGGTGTGATATACGTCGTTCTTCTGGACTACTTCGACACAAAACGCGGAGACACAGCTTGGATTGGCTCAATCCCGACGGGTATCCTCGGTATTGTAGGTGAGTATTATGGCATGTGATTGGACTTTTCTCAACATAGGAATTATTGTCTTGATACGTAGCCATTAAACAAACTATTTGGTTCTATATATGTTGAGACATTTAAACATTACTTACATATAAAGGCATTGACAGCTAGGCCGTAAACTAACATGAAACGGGCACCCTACAGTAAATGAAGCTAGCCTTGCAAGGTTTAGTTCTACACAGCACGTCACTATTATGAGGTCTTTTGTGGCGTCACATTCGGAATCAAGAAACTTTTCATTGTCCTGACGGGTACAATATGTCAGCTGTGTGGCGGCGGTCATGTAAAATAATCAAGTCTGGACCAGACTATCCACTGATTGATATCATGAGCATCGATCAACGCAATTGGGATACGATGACATGCATCAGAACAGGACAGAACTTCATTTTCACTCTGGCCGTGAACCATGGCATACGAGTGATACAGTACATGTATATAATATGAAAAACACAAGATTGCGGACGGGGTAGACATTGGGTACAATAGTTACAGAAATACAGAAATATTGAAAATTCAGGGAAGACTTAAATTGTTTTAAAAAACAATAGCAAATTGTACTTGCATTTTTAACGGTACTAACGTTTTGGCATTTTATTGCTGGCAGATATCTAATCCGTTCGTTCCTGAAAAAAAGTATAGACAAATATGTACTGGAATTCATCTCCAATATCCCTTTGATTACAGAATGGACAGCTACTTTCATACAATGGTACATTTATCCATCTGCCAGTTTCTACTTGGAGCCGATGATCTGATAATCTAAAGTACAATAGTGGCATTCTATATTATGCATAAAAAATATTAAGGTATTGCTCAAACGATGTACTCTCTTTTATAATGTTATAAGAGGTTTTTTTTACGAGTTTGTAATTTTATTGTTCCATACCTGAACATATTGGTCCTTAAGTCAGTGGGATATACACGATCTCTGGTTATTTATGTCGAATCCGCATTGTGACAGCCAAACATCACCAAATCCCAGAATTTCTAGTATTGAGTTTACACTAGTTAGTAACACATTTATGTTTACAGATACCAGAATTCACATAATTTAGTAATAATTTATACTCTATATGTGACAACTTTCTTTTGAATTTTTAACTTTTATTAACATTTTTGAGTATTGCACTGTTGCCAATGCTCTATATTTCCGATCCGTAAAATAATATTGCTTTAACCATACATTCAAAAATTCATAATCTAATTTGGCATTGAAATGATAAATTAAGTAAACGACTTTGTTTCAGTACAAAAACACATTGCTTTTGTAGCTTGATCAGCAAGTTGTTTCTCACTTGTGACAAGTTTGTTCAATTTGGATAGTATTATTCCTAGAATCTTATATTCGTTAGTATTTTCAACAACTTAATTATTTACAAAGAAGACACATTTACAAACTTTTTTGGAGCCTCCAAAAACAACTTTTGTCTCATCCAGCGTGTTTTGCAGTACTTTCGTACTAATGGCTCACAACATAACAGTATCGTCTGCATACAACAGAACAATAAATTAACATTTTAAAGCATAGTGTCACATATATCATTTGGGTGCGAATTAATTCACATATCATTACAAATATGATCTTTAAGGTACTGTTCATTTACAAAAAGTGAGAATAGTAAAGGTGACAGGTTTTCACCTTGTCGTACCCCAATTGAGCATCGGAAGAGCTGAGAGTAGTTACCTTTACTAAGGACGCGTGATTTGATATTTCTATACATATTATAAATACCATCGAAAACATATATTGTCTGTGGTTGAGTAATTCTTTCTGAATCCTGTTTGTGTTTCACTAAGAAGCTGATTTGTTTCGATGAAATTAGTAAGTCTGTTATTGATTACTGAGGGGAATATTTTCCCAAATAGCTAAGTAAAGTGATAGGAAGATAGGTTTCTGGTTTGGTGGGTCGCCTTATCATATATAGGTTCTATGGCATCGACAAGCCAGGATTCGGGGAAAATGCCACGATTAAAAACAACATTGAATAATTTAACGTTTATACATACATCCGGTTTTTTTAAGGAATGCACAATATTTTCGTTTTATGATGTCAGCATTTCGAGATGAGTTTTTGCTTTCTATATGTTTTAAGCAATGCACTATTTTTTCTGGTGTTACTGGGCTATTCAAGTAAAAGGTTCTCATCCATGCTCTTGATAAAAGAAACTCCAGGCTTACTAAGATCATGTCCTCCATCGTAATTGTTCAGAATGCTTTAAAAGGCGAAAAACTCATCAATCAAGTCAACGACCCAGACAACCTGACCCTGTAAGTCGCCTCTTACCACAAGCATGGTCGCCTTGTTAACATACATGTATTCCATGCATGTACCTTTGTGAGGGTTAGTACTTGGCATCTTGCGGGATGAAATGTATGCGTTCGTAGCTTAGTTTGAGTTTGAAAGTTATGAATTTATCTCTAGTGCAGCTATACTGATGATATTGAAAAATGTTCAAGGTGGAAAGTCGTGTGACGTGTTGATAGTTATGGTTGACTTTCTGTATCTCGTGAAGGAATGGATGCATGGATCAATAGTCTGAATTTCCTCCATTAGCGTCGGAGAGTGCAAAGAAAGAATAACATCCAGTGTACACATGAGGTACTTATGGTACTTATAACCGGTGTTATAGATACAGGATAGATTGCTGCTGCATGAGCTAATTTTCTTTGCAACGATGTTAAACAGTTTTATTATATACTTAAGTTGAGAAAAGTAATATTGCCATATCATTGAACATGACACTTGATATTTCCCCACAGTGAACATAACACTTGATATTTCCCCACAGTGAACATAATACTTGACATTTCCCTACAGTGAACATAACACTTGATATTTCCCTACAGTGAACATAACACTTGATATTTCCTCACAGTGAACATAACACTTGATATTTCCCTACAGTGAACATAACACTTGATATTTCCCTACAGTGAACGTAACACTTGATATTTCCCTACACTGAACATAACACTTGATATTTCCCTACAGTGAACATAACACTTGACGGAACTATTGGTATAAAGAGCTACCTCCCAGCAAATTGTCTCCCTTTATCGTAAGTGTCTGGCCCGTACCCATGATGTTGACTTTCTCTGTACGTTCCACATTGACAAGGCAAACCCATGACAGATGGTCATATTTGGATTTAATATCGCTTCTTGCCTTTTGGTATTCTCTTGAAAATGTTTCGCAATAAACTGTACATTTCTTATTTAACTCGTCAATCGAGACGCGATGAGAGAAACATGATATTTCACTCAAAACATGAAATACCCTCTATGTGCCCACGTATCAAGAGACATATTGTCCGCAAGAGGTGTAATACCGCCAATGTCACAATCTGTACTTCGTTGTCAATACAGTCTTCTAATCGTTGGTACTGGTTGAATGACAAGTGGCCAAACAGGTCCTCATACAGAAGATATAAGTGCATTAAGCCCATCACAGTTCACAAGTTGGAGATAAACAATATTACAGAAAATATAAGTGCATTAAGCCCATCACAGTTCACAAGTTGGAGATAAACAATATTACAGAAAATATAAGTGCATTAAGCCCATCACAGTTCACAAGTTGGAGATAAACAATATTACAGAAAATATAAGTGCTTTAAGCCCATCACAGTTCACAAGTTGGAGATAAACAATATTACAGAAAATATAAGTGCTTTAAGCCCATCACAGTTCACAAGTTGAAAATAAACAATATTACAGAAAATGTAAGTGCTATCAGCCCATCACAGTTCACAAGTTGGAGATAAACAATATTACAGAAAATATAAGTGCATTAAGCCCATCACAGTTCACAAGTTGAAAATAAACAATATTACAGAAAATGTAAGTGCTTTAAGCCCATCACAGTTCACAAGTTGGAGATAAACAATATTACAGAAAATATAAGTGCTATCAGCCCATCACAGTTCACAAGTTGGAGATAAACAATATTACAGAAAATATAAGTGCTTTAAGCCCATCACAGTTCACAAGTTGGAGATGAACAATATTATTACAGTCACTGTCGCACATGAGACACAAGCCAGATGTAACCGGGAGAATTCCCAGTTTAATAATAGAATATATACATGGTCTATTTACAATCCAGTGGTTGATGATAGGAACACCGCCCCACCCTTATCCATGTCATTCGCCTGTTACTACCCGCTTGGTAACAACGAACCATGGAATGGCCGCAGAATTTCAAGGCTGGAGTAATTGATGTAACTGAGTAACTAACTAATGTTTCAATTTATTTGGTGAGTGCTTTCGCCTGTTATTGAGCAATCAGTTCATTACTAACACGCGTTTGACATATATGTTGCTTATAATTACTTTCTTTCGCTCAGCCCCAGTTACAGGGATCCTAACGGACAAATATGGCTGCCGCACTGTGACGATGAGCGGATCTGTCATCGCTTCATCCGGATTTGTAATCAGCTCGTTTGCACCCAATATTGACATCCTTTATATCAGTTACGGAGTTTTAGTAGGTGAGTTGCAACGAAAATGAAATTATAACGCTCAAGTATTATTAAAACATGTCACACAAATATTGCAATGACAAACATTGAGAGTATACCTGTATACTGACGTAAAACGTAACGTGCTTCATATAAAGTTGAATCAAACTAAAAAAAAAATTAAAATAAATTATGCATCACCACGAGTTTTAGGTCTGGATTCACAATTAAGCACGTGGTTGTACGGCGCACAATTTGGATGTTTACGTGTTTTTTGGAGAACACAGCTACCAATTTTTCATAAAAAGACAAACTTGTTTAAACGTAGATGATGTTTACGCAATGCCACGTTTACGCGCTGTGGGTATGCTGCAAGCAGGAATGGCGCAGACGACGTTGCCAGACATTTTAATGTTCATAAAAACACAATGTTATCTTTTTTGAGACGTTTTCTGATACAGACACATCAATAAGGCAATCCTATTCGGTTGGGGCATCTTCGGAATCGATACCAAACTGCCCCATTAACAACTGGGTTGAGACCAACTAGTGGCAGAACCGTACGCAACCGGTTGAGAGGCCACAACATCCGGCCGCGACGTCCAGAGATACGCCCAGTTTTGCTTTCACTTCACCGACAGGCAAGGCGAGCTTAGTGTAGACAGTATCTCATTCTCATAAGACAAGACTGCGACAGTAACCAGTTATCGGATGGGTACAGGTTTCATCTGGACACCTGATGGTCTACAGGCTTTCAGGAAAACGTTTTAGCGACGCTTTAGTTCAGGGTGAAAGTGTAATGGTATTGGGCGGCATCACAACTCATGGGAGAACATAAATCATTATTGTTAATGGCCGTTTGAATGGCGTCCACTACCGGGACGACAGCCTTCGAGATCATGTTCTACCCCTGGTGCAAATGCAGGGACGTAACGTCGCGCTGAAGAAGGACAAAGCCCGTTCTGACACGCTGCACGTGTTATAACAGACACTTTAAGGGAAATTAACATTGCTGTGCTCCTATGACCATTTCGTTCCCCAGACCTCTCTGTTAAGTGAAGGGATGGAACACTAGCTCAGTTGGGCCTATCTTTGGTTAACATGTGGAACAACATCACATGGGGTGTTATCAGTTTCAATCATCTGGTGTCTTCAAAGCGCTACCGGGAGCGATGGGGTAGCCTGATGTTCCGATTACCCACACGGGTACAATGTGTGAAGCCCATTCTCCGGTGTCTCCCGCCATGATATTGCTTGAATATTGCTTTATATATATATTGCTAAAAGCGGTGCAAATCCATACTCACTTACTCATGCAATGCGCCACCGCTGCCTGCCTGTATCAATGGTGGTCACACCCGATACTGACATTGTTAATTGAGTTGTTACACCACCCCTCTTTTAGGGCGTGTTTCTCGTGTCTCGTGTAACCAGGTATGGGCTTTGTCAATGAATTTGTTGATCAGACGAATGACCAAGTATTGTGTTTGTTATTAAACAACATAACATTTACAGCACTTTATATGAAGCACAGTTACCTTTTTCCGTTAGTATATATTGATGAGTCGGTTGTTTTTTCTGGTTGCATGAATTTACATCTCGTTCAGGAATTGGCCTGGGTCTGATGTACCTACCGTCCAAGGTGATAGTAAACCAATACATGAAGAAACGTCGTTCTCTGGCTAATGGAATATGTTCCTCGGGAGGTGGCGTTGGAACGATGGCCTTTGCAGCAATGTTCCAAACACTCAACGCAGCCTACGGCTTTCGGGGCATGTTTCTGATATCTGGAGCGGTTGTGTTGAATGCGGCGGTTTGTGGAGCTTTGTATCGTCCAAAAAAACAAGGACATAGGAAAACACCCCCTCTATTAGACGGTAAGAAGGGGTAAGGATCATATTGTACGGGTTTATTGAGTTTATAATAATAAATCCATGTGTTTCCCAGCCCACTTTCTTACGTGACAAAGAGAAGTATTGACCTCAACGTGCACTGATCATGTATTCAACTATTGACCATTAACCATATGGATATCTGTACCCATGTTTGTAATATGTTTCTAAAATGTTTCATGTAAGTTTTTCGCCAACAGCAACAAATGGTGAAACCTTGTAGGACTAATCTAAGTGTAGAGAATATGACTCTTTGTCTGAATTGCCCCGTGAAGATCCGAATCAGAATAGGTCTTAAGGAGCCCATGCTTGCCGTAAAAGGCGACTAACCGGATCGGGTGGTCAGGCTCGCTGATCCATGTCATCGTATCAGAATTGCATTGATCGATGCTCATGATGTCAATCACTGGATTATCTTGTCCCGACTCGAATGAGACAGACCGCAGTCATATAACGGGAATATTGCTATTATAGTGTGGCGTTAAACAGCAAACAACGAGTTTAACCTGTGTTAACTTGTAGTAAATAAAATGTAGCCCATGTTGATCGAGTTATGAAACAACAGAGGAAGACAGTTAGAACACCACGATACCATTTTAACAATATCCAAATAACAATAACACTGTCTTTCAGGTGCTTCTGAACTACAAATTAAAGACAAAGTATGCTGCAAGATCAGTCCAATCCAGGGATACACACACCTGCTCCACAATATCCAGTACTGTATGTTCATATTTGGCAATGCCCTAGCTACAATAGGCATTTTCGTTCCTTTCGCACATCTTCCAAGGCGAGCACGTGACTTACAAGTTCCCGAACACCAGGTGGCGTGGTTGTTGCCTATGATTGGTTTTGCCAGTGTAGCAGGACGATTGTTCTTCGGTTGGATTGGGGATTTCAGTTGTGTCAATATCAAGGTTTTATGGGCGTGGTCTAATATACTGTGCGGGATCTGTGTGATTGTGTGTCCTTTCTTGACATCATTCCCATTGCTAATGGGATTCGCTGCGATATTTGGTCCTTTATCAGGTAAGTTGTTAAAACGTCTCGAAATATCATTTTCCTTAACTCACATTCCATTTCATTGGCATGTATCAATATCTTGCAATATGAACTTTTTTGGCTTTATGAAGTACCAAAGGGAAAAGGGTTTAAGTTCCTTTCGGTTATACTTACTTGGGTTTGTATTTTAATAATAGGCTTAACTGGTCCTAAACTCTTGATAATATTGGGCTGCGGGCAAGGGTATGGATAACTATCCTGAGAGGTATACATTCGCAACAACTTTTTCACCAGATTTCTACTTCCAAATTTCGATGCGAAGATCATGCCTGTGCTTCCGTATGGTGCCAAGGTCTGGGGGTTTGAAAATGTTGAAAAATGGTTGCAAGCGGTTTTGGATTTAGCCGCATCAAACAATGCTGTATTGGGCGAGTGTGGCAGATACCCTATTCGTGTATATGCTTTGACCAGATGTGTGAAATATTGGCTGAACATACTAAAGATGCTAGACTTCCGTTTACCAAGAAAGTGCTACCATATTATGTACCTGTATGATGAACATGTCGTGTCAATTAGGTAACTAAATTAAGGAATTGTCTTCGTAAACATGGGTTCACAGATGTATGGAGGTTCCAAACGATGGACACCGAAAGGTTTTTCTTAATATGTTTCAACAACGTTTGAAAGACAATTATAAGCAGATCCGGCATAGCGAACTTCTTGCAAGTTCACAAATGTCATATTATGCTTGTTTTAAAACTTATGTTAAATATGAACCTTATTTGTGATTCTTAAATTCACAAAATATGAAAAGAAGCCTCATAAGCCGACTGAGTTGTCATACTTTGGAAATTGAGAAAGGACGTCATTATACAATCCCAAGAAAGTTAAGAAAATGCAAACATTATAAATTAGACTGTGTTGAAACCGAGTACTATTTCCTGCTTATTTGTCCATCGTATGTCAAGTTACGGCAACTATATCTCAAAGCAAAGTTCTATTGTCATCCTAACGTTCATCAATTTAACGTGCTTCTGTTATCATCAGATACATATATTATCATCAATCTAGCAAAATATTTACTTTATGAAAATGAAGTATGAAATTGTCTGTACGCAACCTTTGTACACAATAATATGATTGATGAAGTACCAATGTAATTTATATACACGCACATTCGGATAGAACGAATCCAGAATGTATTCAGACTGATAACAGTATATTGAATGCAATTTTATTCTGGGGCAGATTCAGGGTAGAATTGTGTCCTTGGGGACATATATGCATGCCATTAGAGGCGACCATGATCCCATGACTTGACATGTCATAGTGCGCTGATGGCATGGAACGTGCTTTCAGGCACTTTTTTGCTTGTGTTTTTTTAACTAGTTTCACGTTGTTCTCTTTCCATGAAATAGTAACATAGCATTCAACATCTTGTTCCATAACAGGCGTTTGGACGGGGTTGAAGACAGTTGCTCTGGTAGATGTGGTGGGTCTTGAAAACCTGGGCAAAGCCCTCGGTCTGATGATGTTTGCACAAGGATTTTCTGGCTTCATTAGTTCCCCGCTAGCAGGTAGGTGTGCTAAATGTATCGCGAATATGTTTTTGTTATAAATAGAACCTTGAGCACAAGAATAAAATGTTGCCCCAAACAAATAGGGTTGCATTCATAAGATTTACGCTGAGAGGAATTTGCAATTGTGTTGGCTCTAACTATTCTAGGAGTTGAAACGAGAAACGCTGATCAGTTAACTACTAGTATATAGTTTCCATTCAGATTGTTGAAATATTTATACATGTAGTTTGCTATTCGAGTGGAAAGTGTATTAGAATGATTTCATGGATGAACTTTAACTGGTGTGTGTGTTACTTCGGAATGTAAGGCACACTACATAATACTTAAATCATGCTATCTTCTCCAGGCTGGTTGTACGATGTCACGGGGACATACGCAGCGTCCTTCTACACAGCCGGGGCCTTGTTTATATGCGGTGGTATTATGGTTTTGTCGCAAATGAAACTTCGAAATGTATGTAAACAGAGAGGATCAGATGGAGTTGATGTCAAGTTTACAGTGGTCAGTGTTGTGGACCCGTGAAGTGTGATGACTAAGAACCGTGATGTGTAACATATATTTGAAGTGATGTTCTACATGTACGAGTAGGATTTATGCCAGGTGAACAGGTGTAGTGTTTGTTCTATATCTCAGAAGGAAAAATGTTGAATATCAGGTTGAATCATGTAAGGAAGAAGGAAGCAAGATACGAGAGTGAACCCTTAATAGATGTGTTACACATGGCCGCAGGAAGACCACTGATATGAGTTGAACTGGGTAGAAAGAGTAAACTGGTTGTGATCCCTAAACTGATGTGTTACACACCAGATTGAAAAACCTTGGAGTGATCCCTGAACTGATGTGTTACACACCAGATTGAAAAAGCTTGGAGTGATCCCTAAACTGATGTGTTACACACCAGATGAAAGAAGCTTGGAGTGATCCCTGAACTGATGTTTTAAACACCAGATGGAAGAAGCTTGGAGTGATCCCTGAACTGATGTGTTGCACACCAGATTGAAGAAGCTTGTATTGATGCCTGAACTGATGTGTTACATATCAGATGGAAGAAGCTTGGAGTGATCCCTAAACTGATGTGTTTAACACCAGATGGAAGAAGCTTGTATTGGTGCCTGAACTGATGTGTTACATACCAGATGGGAGAAGCTTGGAGTGATCCCTAAACTGATGTGTTTAACACCAGATCGAAGAAGCTTGGAGTGATCCCTAAACTGATGTGTTACGCAACAGATGGAAGAAGCTTGGAGTGATCCCTGAACTGATGTGTTAAACACCAGATAGAAGAAGCTTGGAGTGATCCCTGAAATGATGTGTTTCATACCAGATGAAAGAAGCTTGGAGTGATCCCTGAACTGATGTGGTACACACCAGATGAAAGAAGCTTGGAGTGATCCCTGAAGTGATGTGTTACATACCAGATGATAGAAAATTGGAGTGATCCCTGAACTGATGTGTTACGCACCAGATTGAAGAAGCTTGAAGTGATCCCTAAACTGATGTGTTACACACCAGATGAAAGAAGCTGGGAGTGATCCATGAACTGATGTGTTACACACCAGATGAAAGAAACTTGGAGTAATCCCTGAACTGATGTGTTATATACCAGATTGAAGAAGCTTGTAGTGATCCCTAAATTGATGTGTTACACACAAGATTGAAGAAGCTTGGAGTGATCCCTGAACTGATGTGTAACATACCACATTGAAGAAGCTTTGAGTGATCCCTGAACTGATGTGTTACATACCAGATAAAAGAAGCTTGAAGTGATCCCTGAACTGATGTGTTACACACCAGATTGTAGAAGCTGGGAGTGATGCCTGAACTGATGTGTTTAACACCAGATGGAAGAAGCTTGTATTGATGCCAAACTGATGTGTTACATACCAGATGGGAGAAGCTTGGAGTGATCCCTAAACTGATGTGTTTAACACCAGATGGAAGAAGCTTGGAGTGATCCCTAAACTGATGTGTTACACACCAGATGGAAGAAGCTTGGAGTGATGCCTGAACTGATGTGTTTAACACCAGATGGTTGAGGCTTGTATTGATCCCTGAAATGATGTGTTACATATCAGATAGAAGGAGCTTGGAGTGATCCCTGAACTGAAGTGTTACATACCAGATGAAAGAGTCTTGGAGTGATCCTTGAACTGATGTGTTACACACCAGATTGAAGAAGCTTCGTAGACGCAAGGCACCTTCAGGAGTACATGATTGTGATATGTTCGTCATCAATATATATGTTATTGTGTATTTTGTGGTCAAGTTGTTATTTCAAGACAAACATTGATCAGTTGTCTGTGGTCGGTCTCTGTCTTGACAGATTGTATCAATCATTGACATATGGTTTATCTTCTATCTAACAGAAATATACGAACACTAATTCGATGTGATTCGCTCTGCAGTCGCATCCGATGGTCGTATTTGGATTCGATGATCGTGGTTTTGTCAGCACAAACCTTGTGTTCTTGGGTTTCACCAAGGAGGTAAACTTCTTCGACCTGCGACACTTTGAGCATTCCTCCCAAATATATCTTACGTGCCTCGAATTAAAATAGCTCAGTTCAAAGCATTGTTCTGGTTTGCTACAGACCGCCATCGCATGGCTGTGCCATGTCAGGCAATAAATACTTACTTCTTCATCTAAATTGTGTGAATGGTGTCTGCTTCCGGTAGGGCAGGACATGCTTACACTTTCGCGAAAACCTGGTGTCATCACTGATTTTCAGTGGTCTTCACAGGTTTTTACCCTTCACACCAAATGGAATCTGTTTCGGCAGGTAATCTAGACTGGTTATTCTCTTGCATTGACAATTCATATTATCTATTACACTCATTCACCCATCTACCCATCCACTTATTCACTTATTATTCTAAATCACCTGTAACTGAGTAACAAATGTGTTTGTTTCTGGGCAAATTTCTCACAAATGTCAGTGTATATCAATCGTTATCTTTCCTTTGCTCTTTTGGAATCTCATCTTTCATAAGAAGACATGCGACATGACAAAAAATGCCATACACATCTGCATCAATATATCTAAATAAATACATGGTGTTCGGATAAGAGTTTTATACAGACGACCCGAAGTCATTCATGTGCTTCACCAAACCAATTGCTTCCTACTCCACGATGTTCATCCAGTTGTCTTCAAGAACGTCTGGGGGTGTGTGTCTGTTCCCAGCTTTAGAAAACGTCAGCCCATGACCCCTGCATCTAAATTTTATAAGAGTAATAACCTCTGGCTGGAGGTATTAAAACATCACTAGTGTAGGGTTGGGTTGCCCTCACCAAGGCAATATGTGAAGCAGGGGTTACGGGCAACAATCCTTCTCGGGTTTTAATACGGTAAAGAACAAGGTTCGGATTAAGAAGTTGTACCCTTGTTCTGAGTCTTTGGCCTGTTGTAAGAATGTGATCCCAAACAAAGTAGACAGAGACCACAGGTAATTATACCGTACATTTGTAGCTACATACTTAATTCGATGAAGGAACATTCATTTTGATATGATATTGAAACTCTCTTAGTAATAGGTTCAGACACTAACTACATGTAAGTATATATTCCCTTTTGTGAAACTAATAAAGATCAGGACTACGAATGATTCCCTGAAGCGTTGAATCTTTGTCCATGCTGTCAACCACTGGTCTGCCGGAACCAGATTCGATTATTTACATTGTAGCTGAAATATTAATAGCATGACCACGGTGTAGCCGCGACCATAACCGTCATTGTTGTTGGATCACTTTGCCGCTAAATCATTGAGACTCTCACAATTCGGGAAGGTCTTAAGACGGTTCTGCCAGGTCGAGGTTGACATCAGAGCACAAAGTTGGTCAACTGACCAGTCGATCTGAACGTCCACCTTGTTCTTGAATTACAGTATTCAATAACAATTTTAAGATTGGTCATCAACGACACGCAACACAAAGACAGAAGCAGGCCCATGCCCACATTTTCGTGAATACCAGGTGACAACCATAACCATTATCCTGATCCATCTTCGCTTTACTAAATCAGTAGAGAACCTCATCAATATCGATATTCACATCATACAAACATAAAACACCAAACCATTGAATTTCTCGTCATTGTGTTGGAATATAAACTGTCTCAGAAACAATCTATCTGATTTTTCAATTTTTACTCTGGTTTTGATCATGACATTCTTTGACTTCTCGAAATCTTGGGCTGGGGCTGCTCTCTTGGATTTCTTCATACATACGAATCACCGAGAATTCAACTACTGGGTTCGTTAAAAAAGATGGGACTTGTTACCCTGCCTGGTGCTCGGTATTAACGGGGATAAAAGAAGGACTGGTCGGCTGTGAGTCAGTACACTGTGTCTCAATGGGATATTCATGTTAAACTACGGCTTGGTATCTCAATGTGCTAGTACTATAAAAAAAATCAGACAACTGATTACGGCGAAATAACAATAAATGAACTCCACATAGCTGTGATGGTAATAACAGTAAAGCGTTCTCGGAGAAACTGGTTTAGTCACTAATTCTGGTACGTCTGCTGCAAACATAATGTGTGATCAGTGGACTGACTACTTTAGGAAACGTGTTAAACCTTAGACAACCCATAGACGTGGACAACCACGATGAACAGTTGTGTGAAGATGCTGACATGATGTTGATCAGTGACATGATATTGAAGCTGTCATAAAAGGCAAGGTAAAGCAGCTGGTCCAGATGACATTAAGGTAAAATCATTATTTGTTGTGAACATCTGTTACTGTCATATTTACTACTTATATTTAACATTATTATGCCATTTATTATGTTTTTTCAACGGAATGGGAGAAGGGAATCATTATTCCTCTTCCTAAACAGAGTAACAGAAATTGTGTAAATCATTATAGATATATTGTTTTGATGGATACATACATAGTACATATTTTGTATAATTTGGGATAATCGTTTAATAACGACGTAGGCAGATTACTTTGAGAAAAGCATAGAAGCACAGGCGAGATAACATATGTGCTTTACAATGTCTGGTGCAAAAATATTTTTCGAAATATTGTTGGAGATATTATTGTTGATTTTTAGAATTTAAAACGGTTGTCTTATAATATAAATTTACTTGGTATTCACTTAGGAAGAATGCCACATATAGTAAATTAGTCCAAATGTCAAGGAATATGCATTTAAAAATATTTGAATGGTTCAGTGGTGTAAGGCAGGGCTGTTCCTTGAGTCCTCGTCTCTTTGCATAGTGTATTTCGGAATTTCAAGCAATGTTACAAAATATTCGCTATGACTTTCATGAAATTGTTATTGTTATTTTCGTTGATGATATGTGTATACTTAGTGATATTGCTTTGGTTTCAGAAAAAAAACTTATTTAGGAATGTTAGTATCAACCAGATTATCTTGGACAAAGTGTACAGTTATTCGTGTAAAAGAAGCTACTAAGCCCCCACAAGTTATTTAAAATGATTGATAGCATATGATAACATGCTCCAAGTGATGTTATGTTTGCAGAATGTGGGTGAATGGGCATATATATATATGTTCATTATTATTTGAAATGTGCAACTTGGAGTAAATTATTGATAATGACAGAGGATCGTTATCCAAAACAATGTTAGTTACGTACGTCAGACGTAAAGGGAAGACATACCTCGGCGTCATCCTTAAAAGGATTGTTATTTTAATATGTTTTTTTGGTTTGTCTGGTTTAATCAAGACGTAGGCAAACACTTTACTTCTATTTCGAGCAAAGACTAGTGGATTGTAATAAACAGTATGTGTTTAGGAAGATTAATGATTCATGACATTAGAAACATATTTATTCGCCAATAGATGCGGCTAATATTATGAGAATAATTAA